ATTGGTAATCATAGATAACTTTGCAATTATGTTTGTATTTGATGCGAAGGAAGTTGTTTTCTATTTTTGTCCATTTTTTCTGCAGCTTTGCCTTTATCTTTTTCTCTTTGTTTTCTTTATTCTGTGTTAGTACTTCTGATATTCAGTTGCTTTCTTCAATAAAATAACATGTCCTTTATATAAATTAAATATTGATAATTTTTATATAGCCACATTTTCAATCAATATATTATCTCCCTCTACTTTTTTCATTTTTTTTCTCTTTGAAGCTTATAAGATAACCATTTCCCTAGTTTATTCACATATTGAAAATGTTTGTGTTTTACATAATTCAATTTTATTCTGAGTTTTCTTATGGTTAATATGGATAACTGTTGCTATATAATCTTAATTTCTGACAGAGTTATGTTCCTTAGGGAATTCTTTAACTCATATTTTTATTTCATCCAAAATATTTTGGGTTTCCTCTTGACTCTTCTTAAATTCGGAATTATATTGTGTCAGGTAACTGGACCTGCCACGCTCACACCTGATTATCATCCCATTGACTGAAGGACCTGTCTAATTTCCCCTTGAAATGAACGGCTAGGACAGGGGTAGGCAACCCAAAACACTCAAAGAGCCACTTGGAACCGTTTCCCACCGAAAACAAAACACTGGGAGCCGCAAAACCCTTTTGATATCTAAAATGAAGATAACACTGCATATATCCTTTCCCCCCCCCCTCTCTCTTTCCTCTCTCTCCTTCTCCTTCTCTTTCCTCTCCCTCTCTCTTTCTCTCTCTTTCCTCTCTCTCTCACTCTTTCCTCTCTTTTTCTCTCTTTCCAATCCCCCCTCTCTTTCTCTCCCTCTTTCTCTCCCTCTCTTTCTCTCTCTTTCCTCTCCTTCCTCTCTTTCTCTTTCTTCTCCCCCTCTCTCTTTCTCTTTCCTCCTGCTTTCTCTTTCTCTCTTTCTCTCTCTCTCTTTCTCTTTCTTCTTTCTCTCTTTCCTCTCTTTCTTTCTCTCTTTCTATTTCATCTCTTTCTCTCTCTTTCCTCTCTTTTTCTTTCTTTCTTTCTCTCTCTTTCCTCTTTTTCTCTTTCCTCTCCCCCCCTCTCTCTCTTTCTCTTTCTCTCTTTTCTCTCTCACTCTTTCTTTCCTCTCTCTCTCTTTCCTCTGTCTCTCCTCTGTCTCTCTTTCTCTCTCTCTTTCCTCTCTCTTTTCTTTCTTTCTCTCTCTCTTTCCTCTCTCTTTCTCTCTCTCTCTTTCTCTTTCTCTCTTTCTCTCCTTTCCTCTCTTTCTCTCTCTCTTTCCTCTCTATCTTTCTTTCTCTCTTTCTCTCTCTTCCCCTCTCTCTCTTCTCTCTCTCTCTTTCCCCCCTCTCTCTTTCTCTTTCCTCTCTCTCTCTTTCCTCTCTCTCTTTCTCTCTCTTTCTCTTTCTCTCTCTTTCTATCTCTCTTTCTTTCTTCCTTCCTTTCTCTCTCGCTTTCTCTTTCTTTCTTTCTTTCTCTCTCTTATTCTCTCTCTCTTTGTTTCTTTCTTTTTCTCTCTTTTTCTCTCTCTCTTTCGCTTTCTTTCTTTCTTTCTTTCCTTCTTTCTCTTTCTTTCTTTCTCTCTCTTTCTTTTTGTCTTCTTTCTCTTTCTTTCTTTCTCTCTTTCTTTCTTTCTTTCTCTTTCCTTCTTTCTTTCTTTATTTCTCTCTTTCTGTTTCTATCCTTCTTTCTTTCTCTCTTTCTTTCCCTTTTTTCTTTCTTTCTTTCTCTTACTCTCTCTTTCTCTTTCTTTCTTTCTTTCTTTCTTTCTCTTTCTTTTTTCTTTCTCTGTCTCTCTTTTCTTTCTTATTCTTTTTCTCTCTCTCTTTCTCTCTCTAACTTTCTCTCTCTCTTTCTCTCTCTCTCTTTCTTTCTCTTTCATTCTTTCTTTCTTTCCTTCTATTTACCTGAATAGTAAATATATAGGTTAGTTTAAATTTTAACATTTGAAAAATTAATAAAATGTAAAACAGGATTTCTGGGATAGATAATGAGCTCTTCTAAACGTTTATTGATTAATGAAATTCATATGTAGCAATATAAATGAAAATTTGTTTTAGAAATGTATTAATGAGATTATAATATATCTTAAATAAATGGAGAGTTTCAGTTTAAGTTTAAATATGTGAGAAATTATAGATTTGCATAGAATAGACACTGAGCGGCTGAAGGTTTTGATTGATTAAGAGAATTTATATTTAGATATATTAATGAATGATTTTATTTGAATCAATTTGATTATAATATTATATATAGATAGAGAGGGAAATTTTAAGAAATATTGTGTGAACTGTATATTTATAATGCTATTGTTTTCTTTTTGTATTTGATCGCCATATCTCCACGTTGGTTCTTAAGCTTCTGTTGGTGCAAAATGGAAAACTAATAAAAATTGTTTTTTTAAAAAAGATGAAATCTGGAAATAGCGTAGCTCATGGAGGGGGAGGGGGCAGAAGCTGAAGCTGAAGCGAACATTGAAGCGACCTGCTCTCCACACCTCCATAGAGGTTCGTAGAACAGGCTAATACGAACTAGCACTAGGAGGATCAGGACCCTAGAGGGCGCTCCCGTGTAATATGCACATTGAAAGAGCGGACATCTAACAGAGCAGACATTTCTCTCACCAATGAAGACAAATTCTCTTAGACTGTAAATTATCTTATAAAGAGAAAATTCTCTTTATACAAGGGAGTGTCAACCAAAAAGCAAATGTTCAGTGCAAAATAAGTGCAAAAGGAAATATAATAGATTAACCCACGATAACTTTGCCAATACACGGAGGGGGCTTCTTTGGTATCTGCTGAGTGGCCAAACGATATGGTGGTCCAGATGTTTCAGCGGTGTCTGAGGTTCCCAGGGAGAGTTCCGCAAGGAGCGCAGTCGGAGGCCGGGATCGACTCCCTCCAGCGTCCCCTTCATGCCGTTGCGGCTTTGCCTGTTCAAATGCCTAAAAGAGCAAGCCGAAAGCTACAGAGAGCGCCGGTGGAAGGAAAAAAGGGGGAAAAAATTCTTTCCGCTGGACGAGAGCTATTTAAAGAGCTTGGGGGACAGGGGGTGGGGGAGAGAGACGGACTGGAAAGCTATGATCGAAAGAGACGTGATTCGTTTTAGCCAGGGAATAAGAGGGCATTATAAATTTGAATATTTTTCCTCTCATTTCTGAATGAGCAGAAGGTTCCTGGCCCCAAACTGTTATTTGTTGCAACAGTTAAAGGGGCAAGCAAGAAGTTTTTTTCTGGAGTCCCCGATTAAGGTATGAGTAAATCCCTCCTTTCAGTAGGTGGGGGAGCCCCGCCCTCCACTTGTTCGCATTAAGGTACTTTCGTTTCCCCTGAGGCTTATGTGTATCTCGTCTTGAGCGCTTGTGAGTAAATTCTGATTATTATTTTTAAAAATAATATGGAATTAATGTGTGGACCATCCTGTGCCTGTCGCTTCTCCTCTGCAGGCATCCACCTGCTGTCTTCTCAGCCTTGCAGTGACCGAAGGTCTTCTAGATGGGAGAATAAGGGGAGACTTAGTAGACAGGAAAGTGTTTGCAATTAATCTTGCCCTGATGGAAGTGCCCAATACGCACACAAGTGCCCTGTAAATTTACAAAGATTCAATATTTGTAGTTCAGTGTTCAAAGGTGGGTGGATGGGTTGATTTTTGCTAAACTTTGACTTCTAATTAATAGAGCTCAAGAAGGATGTAGCTTCCTCTTAAGGTCTGTACAAATCCTAATTGTGGGATTAATTCGGGCCATTGGGTCAGGGTTTTAAAAGTCCGGTGGGTTATTAGGTGTCGATAGCAGTTGGGACTTTCATGTATCACTTTACTGCTTTCTGAGGTTGTCTGGATTTTGTTAGGAAACCCAGGCTGATGCTCCAGTTGTGTTCTGAAAGTGTCCTTCACAGTAACTTGTTCTGTCCAAATTGGTATGACCTTCCTGGAAGATGGCAATCTTGGATAATTTTCCTCTCATCTCTGAATAAGCAGAAGTTCCTGGACCCAAACTGTTATTTGTTGCAATAGGTAAAGGGGCAACAAAGAAGGTTTTTTCTGGAGTTCTAGGTTAAGGTATGAGGAAATCCCTCCTTTTGGTAGGTGGGGGAGCCCCGCCCTCCGCCTTTTTCATTTCCCCTGGAGTTTGTATACTTCGTCTTGAGTGGTTGTCATGAGTAGATTCTGATAACATTTTTTAAAAAATAATATGAAATTAATGTGCGGACCATCCTGTGCCTGCCGCTTCTCCCCTGCAGTCATCCACCCGCGGTCTTCTCAGCCTCTCAGTCATCGCAGGTCTTCTGGGTGGGAGCATTTCAGGGGAGAATTAGCGGACAGTAAAGTGTTTGCAATCAATCTTGCCCTGATGGAAGTGCCTAATACGCACACAGGCGCCCTTCACTGTAAATCAGTGTAGCAAAGCTGGAATTCAGATCCTTGCTCTTGTGTCCTTCACAGTAGCTTGTTCTGTCCAAATCGGTATGACCTTCCTGGAAGATGGCAATCAACATGCCCATCCATGCCTGATGCCTTTAAATCCACCTGCCAGTAACAGGACAGGAGGATAATCACTGGACTTTCTTGGTTTTTTTCCTTGAAAACATTTTGCTTCTTNTATTATTATTATTATTATTATTATTATTATTATTATTATTATTATTATTATTATTATTATTATTATTATTATTATTAAGGTTTTAGAGCTATGTAGAGACCTGTGAATCGTATGTTGAAGTTCATTTGTGTTTCTGCAAAATATTCTGACTCAGATATGCATTCCTTTTCTTTGCTCCTTAACTGAGAAAATGGAGCTCAGCCAGATCTTTTTCTCCCTTCTCTCTGAGAAGCGCAATTGTTGGGCATTTCTCCAGAAGAACTTGGTCATAGATTGGCTGCAGCCCAAACCAGTTGAAGTCGCTTTGTGCTTATGACTATGGTTAACTTCCTCCTGCAGAGGTGTCTGTAGTGAGAGAAGTGAAAGACCCATTTCTGAAAGGCCTTCTTCCTGACAAGAGCAGCCTGCTGTAGGTCAAACTCTAGTTTATTATAATCTGGAGCAGTGGTTCTCAACCTGTGGGTCGGGACCCCATTTGGGGTCGATCGACCATTTCATGGGGGTCGCCAAGCAAGGCTGTCCGCCATTTTTTTTGTCCGCCATTTTTTTTGTCCGCCATTTTTCCCCCCCTTTTCCGGCGGGTGCCTTACCTCCCTTGGGCTGGGCCAGCTGGTGGTCGGCCTACTCTGTCTCTGCCACTTGCCAGCTACGCCTCGGCCGGCGCAGGGGGTGGAACCACGCATGCGCGGCGCTCCCGGGCAGCGAAAGTCCTCGACTTACGACCGGTTGGGTAGTCCTCAACTTACGACCGGTTTAGTCCTCGACTTACAACCGGTTTAGTCCTCGACCGGTTGGGGTCGCGGCATTAAAAAGGTTGAGAACCACTGATCTGGAGGAAATGTCTGGTACATAGTGAGAATCGTGTCTCAAACTGTCCCTTCTCCCCATTTGAATTTTTCACCATAGGAAACCAGGCCTTGGGTCAATATCTGTCCTGGAAGCTTAGAAAGCCCCAACCCCTTTCAAGGACCTTTCAAAGATGGATAGAAATGATGCTTTTCCAGGAGTGCTAACAAATTAGAATATTTGTCTTTCTCAGATTCAGAGAATGAATTTGTCTTATTTTGTGTGCTTTCCTTCCGTAGGCCGTCCAGATCATGATTGGGTTGGTCCACATTGGCTTTGGAGCGGTCTCGCTTTGTCTCATTCCTTCTTACTACCTTATCGTGTCTGGACTTGGAGGTTACCCCTTTTGGGGAGGGATATTTGTAAGTATGTGCAAATTTTTGTTGAGTCATGCCTCATGGTATTAATGGCTAATGGATATCTATAAAAGTCCTGTTTACACTGGAACCTCCCTGGTTTCTTATGGGTGACAGAGTTTTCTGATAATTTTTCCCTTTTATTTCCAGTGGAGTTCAATCATTTGTTTTTCTTTTTCTTTTCCCATAGTTCATTTCTTCTGGATCACTTTGTGTAGCAGCTGTGAACCGTCCAAATCGTTGTTTGGTGAGAAAGCTATATAGCATTTGAATTTATTTTATGCTGTTTCTTTATAAGCACTCGGGTCCTTTTATATTGTCTATTGTCTTCAGATACTGCTCAGTCTTAAATCAACATGATGAAAATGAGAGAAGCCTGAGAGAGTCAATGACCATAACATAGGTGCTTGTTCTACCAGAGTTTGCTAGTTGCCACTAGTAATGGTGCTAGTCCTGGGCAAAGAAGTGTGTTCTTGCATTTTCTAATCTTGAACCATACCTCCATCATCATCATCATCATCATCATCATCATCATCATCATCATCATCATCATCATCATCATTATTATTATTATTATTATTATTATTATTATTATTATTATTATTATTATTATTATTATTATTATTCCTCCTCCTCCTCCTCCTCCTCCTCCTCCTCCTCCTTCTCGATAGAGGGTCCAGTTTCCAAAGTATTCCTACATGATAGCAACATCAGGAAGAAACCTAGTGTATTAGGAGTAAAAATATGGAACTAGAGTGGGAATCATCCTGGAAATCAAAAGGGAAAAGAGAACTGATGGTAACCCTTTTACAAAGACCTTGCATTCTTCTCCCCTTTTTCTCTTTGATTTAAAGTGTGTTCATAGCAACATGGAGATGTCTTTGTCTTTTAAAGGAACAAAGTGTGTATTCAAAAGAAGAAAAACAACCATCTTGATGGTAAATTACTACATTCCTGAAAGGGGAGAACTGAAAAGAGCAATGTTTAAGTGTTCAGAATTATCATATCTGGCTCCTGGGTTTCTCCATTCCCATCTGATTAGTTGCCTCTCTGTAATGTTGTATAGCTAAAAGGATATTTAACATTAACATTTAATGCTTAGAGTATGTTGGGACTAATTGCTTTTATGTTTTGCCTTTAATAAGACCTATGCTGACATTGTAATTATAATTTCTCTCCTTCTGGTGTATTGCTGTTTCAGGTACAATCCAGTGTAGGAATGAACACCACAAGTGCTATAATGGCATTAATTGGTATCATCCTGTATCTCTGTGAGATTATCATGAACAATCGTCATTCTAGATATATTCATCAATATAACAGTGGAGGTTTAATCGTAAGTAAACCAATCTTGTCTTAAATTTTGTCTTCATGTGCAGACTCCAGAAGAAGATTATATATGCAGGGGAGATATCCCAGACTCTTTGACTTTTGTTTGAATTTTTTTCTTAAATAAATATCATTTCATTTGAATTTTTAATATATATATATATATATATATATATATAGTTGATTTCTTCTTTCTCTTCCAGTTTCTTTTCTTTTTTTTGGTGGGGAGGGGAATAGATTCTTTTTAAAAAATTGAAAATGTATTTTAGACATACCTTTTGACTATGTCTCTGCAGTGTGTTGGTTGTTTTACACTATGGCTTAAGTGCTGCAAAACAAAGAATAGTTTGAAAATTCTATATAGAACAGAATGTAGCTGTACATGTTGAAATGTATACCAGGTTTTCCCGCCACCCTCACATCCTCATCCCTTCTTTGCATTTGCCACCCAGTTTTAGAAAACTAAAATTTAAGTAAGTTCTGAAGTGTGGACAGTTTAGAACCATGCCAATACCTGGGATCACTATTTTGTAAAGTGCTTTCTTTTGTTTCCTTATTAGTGTTAAATCATAGTAGTATCACATCCAGGGTTTTTCTCTTTTCCAACCTGACAGATGACTGGAAAGAAGTTGGGTAAAGAAAATAGATCTAGCTGTATCCTTTTTTATGAGGGGAAGCAATATATCTTAGACTGGCTGAATCTAAATCACGTGGCTACCCTTAACCATACTCTGCTAATGCCAGTTTCCCCAATTTTCCCATGAGGTAACTTTTACCTTATCCTCAGCCCATGAGTAAGATTCCAAGCCTTGTGTCATCATTATCTGGTATAAAACTAGTATAAAACTAGTCTTTTCCTCTCCTCTTATTCTGACCCCATCCAACAACAGCTTCAAAGTGTATAAAATCTATTTCTCTTCACCCATTATCTTGGAGATAAAGTCAGGTGACCAAGACTGGATATGTTAGGACAATGCGGAGGCCTTTTGATTTTCCTCTTTGGACTACCCAGCCTCTGTCTTAACCATTTCTCTTTCTCCCTCTCCATCAGCACTTTGTTTCTTGAGGTTTCCTATCCATCCCCTCTCACCTCCATCATCCCAAAGGTGCTTTTTCAAAAGGCAACTGGACCTTCTTATTTTTCTGTGAAGATGTTTCGCTTCTCGTCCAAGAAGCTTCTTCAGCTCTAATTAGATGGTGGCCTCAACGACTCACTAAAAGAATGCAAATGACCAGCTGTCTGCAAGGAATATAAATCCTTCCATTTCCCACCATCTAGTCAGAGCAGAAAAAGCTTCTTGGATGTCTTCACAGAAAAACGTCTTCACAGAAAAACAAGAAAGTCCAGTTGCCTCTTGAAAAAGTACCTTTGGGACAACCATGACGTGGAAAACAGACCCTCTATATTTCCTATTGGGAAATGGAGGACAAGCAAATTACATCTATTTACTTTGACAGTGAGATAGGTAGTATCTATATTTGATAAATAAGCAAAATAAATCTGTTTACAGTACGGTTTAAGCTCTCCACCCCTCCCTGCCAGAAAAGGTGGCTTCAGCTAGTCTGTTTCAGATCTTCTGCCTTGCAAGATATATCTAATTGTGGCAGGAGCTGCCTTCCTCTTCTCAGAAGATTAATAGTGCTCGCTCGAACTATTAGTACCCAATATCATTTCATTTTCATCTTTAGTTTACCTTAAATTTAACTTGATAGATGCCCAAATTGAGGGTGGAAGGAAGACACAGCAGATAACCCATTTCTGTTTTAGTACCCTGAGTGATGGATATTTTCCTTACTGATTGATGCAATGTTGAAAATGGATAGCAGCTACTAGCCATTTATTTAGGACTGCATCCCCTCTGGGACTTTCCAAGCCAGCTTCTGATCAGCAAAGACGATGGGGGTGGGGAAGCTGGAGTCACTTAACAACCATATGATTCTCTTAACTGCAGCGATTTGCTTAACAACAGTGGCAAAAAAGATAAAATTACGCTTGACTCACTGAACAACTGCCTTGCTTAACAGTGGAAATTCTGGTCCCAATTGTGGTTGTAAGTCGAGGGTTACCTGTACACAGCCTCTGTTTTTCCCAGTACAATTGTTCCTCCCAGTGTTTCCCCAGGAAGAAGCTGGGAGTCCCTTTTAATGGTGCAGCACATAAAATAAAATACATACTACTATATTAATTTCTCAGCAGATAACAATTATCTTTCCACATGTCTACAGTTTACCGAACATAATATTGGTTATGGCCTCTCCAGTCTGTTGTTCTTGTTCAGCCTGCTGGAATTTTGCATCGCTGTTTCACTTGCACACTTTGGGTGCCAGGCAACTTGCTGTAGTGATGACCAGGTAAATATTTGATACTTCACTAATAGCTTTAGCAGCTGAAATGTGTTTGAATATTAGGAACTCAGGATGGTAGTTGGGCTTGATCGCCGAGCTTGGTGATTTGGCTGCAAATGTTTCGTCTCCATTCGGGGGGACATCTTCAGTGTACTTTGAATTGTGTTCATCTGTCAGAGCACAGGTCTTTTAAATACCTTTTTGTGTGATGTAAGTTTTGTGTGATGGTAAACCAAACTTACCAAAGAATCAACAATGTCTTCGGAGACATCGGATTTACAATAGAAACTGAGAACAACAAACTGCCATTCCTGGACATCCTTGTAACCAGAACCACCAATGGCCAACTTCTAACATCCGTGTACAGGAAGGCAACACACATACAGATCAAATCCTCAACTTCCACAGCAACCACCCCAAATGCCACAAACAAAGCTTCGACAGAACACTGTTCGGGAGAGCAGAATCCCATTGCAACACCACGGAAGCCAGATCAGCGGAACAAAAACACTTATACAAAGTCTTCGAGAGAAACAGATACCCACAAAACTTCATCTGGAGATCCCTACACACAAACAATACAAACACCCAAAGCAACACAACAGTTATAACAGGAACAACAATGACCAGATGAATCACAATTCCCTACACACAGAATGTTTCAGAGATGACAGCAAGACTACTACACCAACATGTCCTCACAGTAGCCCACAAACCAGCCTCAACCCTCAGACGGACCCTCTCAAAACCTAAGAAACAGCCAGAAACAAACCAAAGATCAGGCATCATATACCAAATCCAGTGCAGCAACTGTGAAAAGAACTATGTGGGCCAAACAGGGAGAAAACTATCTACCAGACTGCACGAGCACTCCCTGCCTATCAAAAGACACGACCCACTATCCCTTATGTCCGTCCACGAAGACTCAGAAGCACACAAGTTTGATCAAACTGGGACCATAGTTGTAACACAAGCAAAATCAAGGAGAGAAAGAGAATTTCTCGAAGCTTGATTCTCTACCAATAAGTCAATAAACAGACACATTGACATCGATCCAATCTACCAACCACTGAGAACCAAAGAACTACTTGAACCGCAATCCCGAAAGCAGCATTTAAAATGAACAAACAGGAACCTCACCACACAGCAAAAAGCACAGCCCCCCACAAGAAACTAGACCACATTTCAACAACAGCCATCCATCCAAACAATCCGAAACTAGACTCAAAACCAGACCATGGCTCAGAGGCAACCAAAGGAACAAACAACATTTGTATCACACAGAGGATACTTAAACACAAAGGACTATGGCCCAGCAACAACAACCAGCCAATCAAATAGCCCAAAACCAGACCATGACTCTGCAACATCAAGAAAAATAACACACAAGCCAATTTACATCACAGAAAAAGGTATTTAAAAGGCCAGTGCTCTGACAGAGGAGCACAATTTTAAGCGCACTGAAGATGTACCCCAAATGGAGACGAAACATTTGCAGCCAAATTGCCAAGCTTGGAGATCAAACCAACAGCCCAGCTTTAGCAGTTCTCATTGTTAAAGAAGTGAAAGAAGAAGATTGTCCATTTTTCTTCATTATATTTACACTCCATTAACCTGAACCTTTGCTTTTGCTCACCAATAGGTGAGATTGGCTGCTCAGGTTACCCAGTAAGCTGTATAACTAGGAGAGGCTTGAATTTTGATCCAACACCCTTTGGCTATTTGCTTCTGCATATGAATAATTAGATGACACCAGTGAATGGGATTCAAATATGTGAACAACCAGTTCTCTATGTGGATGCCGCTTCCGGAAATCCATTCTGGGCCTGGGCAACAAAAAATTAGTTACCGGTTCTGCCAATGTGGTGCGAACTGGCTGAACCCCACCACTGGATGACATGGATTTTTCCTAGCTTCTCTTTTGCTAGAGAGGGAATGTCATGAATAAAACACAATTGTGTTGTCTCTTTATAATTCAGTGATGCAGAGGTTCATCTCTTCATTTAAGAGGGCTCAGTTCTAAATGCATATATTTACTTCAGTAGTGTGATTCCATTAATTTAAAGTATCTGTCACTTGATCACATTTTCTCACAATGCTACCATTTTTTTAAAAAAATAGGTTTCATTTTTTAAAAAATAACATTATTTTTAAATCTCAGACAAACAGTCGCTTAAATGCCCAGTCCCTAAATCATTTGCATGTTAATTTATAGTTTTAAAGAATTCTCTATCAGGACTTTGAGCTATCAAGGAGACTCCCAGCATCACAGTTAACAACACACAACTGGAGAATCTATTCCTCCTACCCAGAGTAACAGGTGCCTCCCTGAGTATGTTCTGTATTGACTATTCTTTTCTGTTACAGCCAACCATGCATTTTGTGCCTTACCAAGTCATCGGAGATGGAGCAGTCACAACTGAAACAACTCCTCCTCCTCCACCACCAACTTACGATAATGTGGTTACCAAATCTCAATAAAACAAGAACTCCAGGAAGGAAATGTGAGAAGTGTTGCCACAAAGGTTTCAAGAGAAGCAATGGATCTCATATTACTATATTTTGTCCTTCATCTTCCTCGTTTATTTTTCAATTACAGCCTTTAAAACCAAATTAAATGGTGGCAAATTTTAAAATTCTTCTATTTTACTTCATTTTTCTTCCCTAAAAGCAAGAATTTGTGGTGCAAATCATCAGCATATTTACGAGGAAGTACACAGTGGATAATACAAGCTGTTTATTACTCTTTTGTTTATATTCTAAATGACATTTGTTTTTTTATGACAAATACGAAATTAGGTAGGAGATCTGATGCTATAGAAAAGAGAAACAGCTACTAAAATTAAAAGAAAAATTATTAATAAAATATGTTATTGACACAGTTCAGGTAGTTCTCAACTTATGACTGCAATTTGGACCAGAAGGTCCATTGCTAAGTGAGGCAGTTAAGTGAATTGTGCCCGATTTATGACCTTTTTTTGCCACTGTTGTTAAGTGAATTATTCTGGCTGTTAAGTGATTCACGTGATCATTAAGCAAATCTGACTTCACCCATTGACTTTTTAAAAGTGAGCTGAGAAGGTCAAAAATAGCAATCACCGAGCTCGGTATGCTGTCATTCATATATGGCTGGTTGCCAAGCACCTGAGTTTCGATCACATGAACATGGGGATGCTGCTACGTGTGAGGACTGGTCATGAGTCACTTTTCTCAGTTGTGTTGTAACTTTGATTGATCACTAAATGACCAGTTGTAAGTTTAAAACTTCCTGTAATAGCGGTTGCATAATCTTTGTGATCCCAAAACAGATTAGAAGAAATATGCATAAAACTAAAATATTCCATACTGTTAGGGTATTTAAGCTGATCAAAAACACAGATTCCATGCAAACTGCCATTGCCTTGATTTTTTTTGACTATTATCCCATCTCTGAGCATGGCTGACTCTGGGTGCATCTGAGAACTAACATGCTGAAAATTGTTATGGGGTGGAGTCAAATGAATAGAAGGAACAGGGTTTCATTTGATCCAGGGTTCCACTCTGTAATTTGTGCAAGATTAATAGGACGCTTCTGAATATGATACACGAGATCCCTTTCATTGCTAACTAAATCACGTAAAGATCAATAGATGCCTAATCTAACTGGAGTCCCCCCCCTTTCCTTTGGACAAATCAACCCCTTGAGCCAGACTT